CAGCTCTGGATTGCATAGGGGACAGCACCAGTGCTTGCTCCACCTCAGCTGTGCTGATGAGGTGATTTAATGCCTTGCCCATGACTTCTTGCTGGCTTCACACTAGGTTTGTCCAGTTGGAGGATGAGGCTCAGGAGGATCAGTGTCCACAGCATCCAACAGTGGTTGGGTCTGGGTTTTTGCTAACTTACCTGAAAAGGTCGTCCTGGTGGGTGCACCTGCCCCTCTTGTGTTTTGGAGAGTCTTGGTGTTTGACACTGTACTGTTTCTTTCTTTTCTCTGGGGGCATTTGCTTCTCTGTTCTTTTGTACGTGCACCCTTCCCTGCTTCAAGTCAGGAAGGATCCTGCTCTGTCCGATAGCAGCTGCTGCCCAAACTCTGAACTGAAATCGCAGAAGCACTCTTGACAGAAACTATCTGCACACAAGGAGGCACACAGGATGCTGAGATGTGCTCACTTGCCCTGGGGGCTCCTGCCTCACCGGCGACCCTGAGCATGGTGAAAGGGAAAGCAGTGCTGCCTGAAACACGACCGATGAGACTCAAGCTGGTGTGGAAGTGCCAGCACCCCTTCACGCTGCAGAACTATTGCATGTTGTTAATTACGTTGCAAACAGTGTGTTGAAAAATCAGTTTTACCTACAAAACAGACCACAGAAAAAAAATGAGGGAAGTCAGTAGGAGCGAGCCTAAGGTATCTGCTATAATAGAGGTGTCAGCAGAGAGCTCATTCGAGTCTGGATGTGTAAACACAGAAAGAAACTTGCTTCGAATACCTTTTTTCCTCTACTTCCCTCCTTTTCTCTTAATTGCATGATAATTCCTTATCAATGGGAGAATAAGCTTTTTTGAAAAAGCATTTCCATGAGTGTTTAATGGTGGCCCGTGAGAATGATCAGAAATTGGGTTCCCTCTTTCACAATTTTAAAATTAATTTTTCAGTAGAGACCCGGAACATTTCATAGGGAGTATTTTTATTTGGAAACGCTGCGATCAGGCAGATGCAAGACCCACACAAACCGTTAACAAGCTGCATGTCTTTTTTCAGTCTTCTGTAGGTATCTTCAAGTTTCACTGTATGCAGTTGTCCAGATGGTTCTTGCGTGGGATCGACTTGGGGGAACAGCCACCTGTATGGTTGCTGTTGCAGTTCTTGCAGGTCCATATCAGACTCTGGAGCATGCAGCTCCCCTGGACAGCAGTGGCTGAGCCTGGCCCTGCCAGCCAAAGGTGGTCCTTTCAGTGATGTGTGTGCAGAGAGCTGTGTTCTGATGCCTGTGGTTTGTGTCACATTTGGACCTCCAAAACCTCCCCCAGGGGAGTGAATACCTTTGTAGGGCCATACCCGTGTGTTGGAAAGCAGACAGGTCTATAAGAGCTTTCCAGCGTTTCAGCTTTATAGTGACTCTTGGAAAGCAATGAAAAAGGTAAGAAATGTCAAGTCATGCCATTGCTGACATGTGCTTTTGTTAGAAAAGGTTGAAGCAGGTCTTTAACTGGTGCCACCAAGCAGTAGGCAGTCCCCATAGCGTGCTTCCCAGTGGCTGCAGCACAGCTGGGGACCTAGTTCAAGCTCTGCGGCTTCGGGAGCCTGGACCTACCTCCCTCTCTTTTACTGCTGGGTTGGTGTCAAGTTTAACATTTAACTTCTTAAAAAGCTGTGCCAGAGTCTGAATTTTCTAGTGGGAGGATAAGCTCCTCCTGGTAGCCTTTTGTTGTTGCAGCACTTCATGCAGTTAAGAGCCCAGGCCTGGCAGAGTTCGTGGCCAGCTCTGTGAGGGAGCAGAGGCACAGTCATGAGGGGACCGATGCCAGGGCCAGGCGGTTTCACTCACTCAAGATGCTCTACTACATCTGCTTTATTTTGTATTTCCCTTATAGCTGCTTTTCTTTTGCTTTTTTGACATAGCAAGCTCTTCTGTGAGGTTGCTATGGATGTTCAACATTATGCCTATGACTTCAGAGACACTAATTTCTAAGGCCTGCTTCTGCAGGAAAATAGGCTTGCAGAAATAATATCAGCATGGTTTTTCTCTGCAGGGTTTATAGAACCTTGTATTCTGTCTCTTTCTGGCATCTGGCTATTCCAGCGTGTTTTAGTTGTATTAAATAGTCAACAATAAGCAATGTGAAGGCTTGAGTAATGTGTGTATGGGAATAATGAGGCGAAGTCATGGATTGCTCCTTTTCTGCACAAACAGCGAGTGGCAATCTTGATAACATGCTTTCAGGTAAATATTGCTGTGTTTTAAATCATTTTGGTATACATTTATGTGATGTATCTGATGTTTAGTCTCTATGTTTTGCTATGGAAGGAGCACAGGAAATGTTTCATGGGCCAGCGTGCCTAGGATGCTCTCTCATTTCTGTTTTTTTATCAGCAAAACATAAATCCGCAGCTTGCTGACAATGAAACCATATGGTAACTCTTTCTGACAAGTCAATTTTGCAATACAGATAATCCTGGCTGTGGATGGGAAGAGATATTTTGGATTATTTTGTCTTAATTCTTGCATTACTCTATTTTTCAGTACCTGGAAATGATGTATGTAGCTATTTCTGAACCCAGAGGTGTGGGTGAATTAAGAATTTGGAGTACGCTACACTTTAGTGTCTTTATTTTGAGGACAGATATTTGTGTGTGAAATAATCTGTTTATTTGCTAAAGCCAGTGCCCTTCTGTGTTGGCAGACAGTAGCAGCAGTTTCAGATACTTTTTGAACACTGAATACCCTCTTAGGGTGAAGCCAAGCTAAGAAATACATTTGTACAAATCAGCTCTTGCTTTACAAGAAGCTGCAGAAGTAACTGCAGGAACTTGAAGGTGTTTGGCTCTTTGTGCCCTGAAGGGAACTGGCCAGCTGATGGTCATCTTGGTTCACCTGAGCTGATGCTGTATGTTGGCATGGTACACAGAGGGGACAAGGTGGTTTGTTCATCCTTTTCATTGAGTAAAATGAGCAATCAAGAGTCCTCACAACTTCTGTGGACTTCAAAATAAATTAAAACCAGTATTTCCAGCTTTTGCTTCATGGGGATGTATCAGCAAGGGAGTTTTCTTCTTGAGCTTGGAAGTAATAGCTGTTATCTGGAAGTGTAAGCAAAGCATGAGCCTGGGAGCGGAGAACAACCGTGAGGAGAAATGGGAACTGGGTGCTGGAGAGACATATCAAGTCTAGGAACAATGCCACGGAGCTAATCAAAACTAAACAACACATCATGAATTTTCATGTTTATTATAAACTACATAGAAATGGCTCATAGGTTGTTAATTCCTCAAGCATTCCTCCTAGCTTTAGGTGCTGCTGTCAGGCATGAATCTGTGGGGTTGGAGATGCAGCTATTGCAAAATCTATGTCAGCAATAATTAAGGGTTTTATTCAGTTTTACATTTCTGGGTGCTAACAGTTAAGGCAAAGCAAGACCCGCACATGACATCTTCTAGATATTTAGAAAAGAAGTATAAATCAAGATGTAAATCTGGTCAGCTCAAATGTTTATGCAGTATTAGTGTTTTTACTTCAGAAGGCAATGCAGCCTCGAACACCAGCCTCTGCTGAAAACAAAAATATAAATACATTATATTTAAAAAAAAATTAATAAAATTCTTTATTGTAGTAGATTTAGTCAGATAAACATGCCTGAAGAGTATTTAAAGGATAAGTCTATATGGAACATCTGCTTGTGTAAATATGAGGATGGAAGCTTACCTAAACAATGATTTTCTGGAGATGCAAGGGTAAAATTAACCTAGCAGAAAAGTGAATGCAACAAGTAACTGCAAAAACATTATTGATAGTTAATAGCAAAGGATACTAGAGCTTACAGGAGAGATTTTACAAATGAGTTATTAGAAGACCATTGCTGATGAAAATTAGGGCAAATTTTATCCAGAGATATTAAATCCGGACTTGTATGAAAATGAAAACTGGCAAACATCCATCTATGCATTTCAATAAAAGCATTTGTAAAAAGGAAGAAGTAGCGACACAGTTAGTGTTTTGACTCTAGTGGGAAGAAAATGTGTTGAAAACCTCAGAAGAAGAAGAAATGATATTTCTACTCTGGCCAAATGCAGGTATATGAAATGGAGTTGATGAACTTTTGGCTCAGCATCTATGTAAAGCCAAGTATAGAAGCTTTCAAAAGTTTAGTTCTCATTAGATGTTGTTAAGATGAGCCTCTGTGTTTCCTGCCCCAGTTACATTCACACAGGAATGATCCTCTGGGGATGATATAATGCTGTTACAGCCCTGGCGAGAACGAGGAAATATCCACTGTTTCATGGGACATTAGCTGTTAGAAATCTTTCTAGTGCTCAAATGAAGAAAAATATTTTAAAATCCACGGCTGAGGAATAATACTGACAAAGCCACTGACATTCAGAGGTTTTAATCACTCAGCATATATCATCATGGGCCAGGGCCCATGCCGGAAAGGGTCCAGAGGACCCAAAACAGCTACAGCTGCACATACTACTCAGGATGGTCAATGCTGGATTAAATGAAATGTGCCTTGAAAGAAAGGATCCAGCGCCAAATGATCCATTCTTTGGAGAGCAGAAGCTGAAAAACAAGTCAGTGAACTGGCGAGTCTACTGAAAGCACCTAAAGAGGGCTGCTATGGTGGCTAAGCAGATATACTTTGAATCAAATTTGGCTCTGACTTACTTTCTGCATCTCGTGCAGCTGGAAGTGTCACTGATGTGGACTCTCAAGTATGTAATCCAGTATCTAAAAGTAGCCTTGAAAGGTTAAATGCAAAAAGGTAGATATTTTGCAGCTTAGGATGTTGGTTCTTCATGGTAGATCTCTGAGTGATTAAGGTAAAAAAGAAAAGCCCAAACTCCTAACGCTCACCTGGAGTGAAGAGGAAGGTTGTCCAATGCACACATCCCATGTGTTCCACTAATGGGATGTTGGAGGGAAGGACAATAGAGGAAAGTAAACAACCCTCTAGAAAATGCTTGCTCTCTCTGAGGCGAATTGCTGCTCGGTAAGAGACTGAGAGAAGTGGCAAAACAAACAGAAATAATCTCCATAGAATTAAAACAGACATGTTTTTAAAAGCCAGTCCTAGACCAAACAAAAACCACAGTGACAATTACTGGTCTTTTGCTGAGATTTCTTTGGGTTTGTTTTCCAGGGGGCTGGGGTTTTTAAGAGTGTAAATGGAAGGCAGGTAGTAAGCCTGTCTGCTGTGGTTTGATCGCAGGAGCTTAACGTTGATTAATGACCGGGGGGAGTTTTAGTATTAAAAAATAAAATAGATTTGTTATGAACATGTGATTCTGTCAAGGTGTTCTCAAGGAGGCTATTAAAACTCTACATTTCTTTTTCCTTGTAACTGTGGGAAGCATATTTTCCCCCTTTTAATTTTTTTTGTGTCATCATAGTGCTTGCAACTCTGGTCTTGCAACTGCAGCACAGTTGCCTCTGAGTCTGCTGAAGTCATTTGGAAATCCAGTGAAAGACAGTGGGCTTGGGCTCTGATGCAGAAGCAGTGCTAGTATTTAGTAAAGGTTAAAAAAAGAAAAAAGGTTATGTAAACCAGTTTCCAGATTCTGTCAATGCACATGTATAAAACCAGAAAACATATTTATTGCTGTTATCTTTGAAGTATGTCTTAGTGGCCGATCATTAAAATTTGTGTTTAAAAACTGAGTGTGAAACAAGGGATTTTGTGACAATAAAACTCAATGTGTGAAGTTAGTGGCTGACATTAGGTGTCCCAGAGAACAGCTCCATGACGCAAAGAACAGCTGTATCAACAACAAAGATATAGAACGAGAAAAGCTGAATGAACAAAACTGTACTAAAAATGAATGATATACTATAAAGCAGAGTTTGTCACTTGAAAACAGAGACAAGTTGAATGTAGTTGTGGTGTATGTGTATGTCTCTCTCTGTCCCCTCCCTGTGGCTTTTGGACCCCCTGGCTCATTTCAGCCACGAGTAACAGAGGTGCAGTGCTCTTGAAAGATAGGAAGTTTCTGTAGGATCATGAAAAGATGCTACCAAGTAGACTGAAATGCTGAAATACGTGATTAACCCATTAGATCTTGCAGTGTTTGCATGGGGGAAGATGTGTTATGAATACTCCCAGCATGGGACATGCCAGCCTGAGTACTGAATTAAACACACAAAGTCCAACAAGACGGGAATCTGTAGGAGACCCTGCCACTCACAGAATTGATTTTTTTTTCCAATGTTTATTATGTACCAGTCTAAGCAGATAATGTTGCAACATGAGTAAAACCCCCCTTTGCACTGGGGGTCAGGGCAGTGGAGCTGTTGAATGGCACTGAAGGGGGTTTGGCTTCGGGCTGGTACTTGGCAGAGCAGTCAGCATCGCCCACCCCAAGGTCTGTTACTTGTTTTGGCCGTTAACGTGGACTGATTTACAATCTGATCGCAATAAAACTTAAGCAGACCTTGGCTTTTGACTCTGACACTGCATTGTCTCGCTTTTTGTTCTGCAGGGCAGTGTAGTCGCATCGTCCCTCCCCAGCTTGGCACACTACGGATCATTCACGGCAATGGCACGACTGTGGGGACAGTGGTAACATTCCAGTGCTCTGCCAAGCACCAGCTGGAGGGACCGGGCGTCATCACCTGCGTTTGGAAAGAGAACAGTACCCAGTGGACAGCTGGAGTGCCCTCCTGCAAGTGTAAGGTTCTTTCCAAACCGTTCCCAGTCCCATTGGGCTGCATTGTGTTTGCTTTGCCCTGCCTATCTCCGATGTTAGGGTTAATTCTAAATATCTGTGCAAGGAAAAAAAGAGAAATTCCATTTCCTTCAAAAGTGCCTCCACTGACTAATTGCACTCCGTATGTGTTCTGACATCATTCATTATCATGAGACAGAAAAGAGTTGATCGGATTTATGCCTGATCTCACGTCACCGACTCCGGTAGTGTTGCACCTGGAATAACTGTGGCTCTGTAGCTACAAGCTTCTTTCAAAAGACCCTTCTTTCAAAAATGTGTAGATGTGACCAAATAATTTTCAAGCATATTTGCAAACCCTCTAATCTCCTGGCATTCTTTTCTGAAGATATTTTTGCTGTAAAAGAAACACAGTGATATTTTTTTGAACAATTCTATGTGGTTGCCTGTGGGCAGCCGCATGGGAAAGTTCCCATATTGACAAATTGTGTTTGAATGGCAACAATGTTAACTACTTTCGTGCTGTGTTCCTTCTTACTTATTATAAGGTTGTTAGTAATTTAACTAGAAGGCGGCCCAAGCAAAACATGGTACCTCTCAGCTTTGAGAATCTCAGTCTGTGTCTCAGACCTTGTATAATTTCAAATCAATGGTAGATGGATGGCTCATTTAGATGCTTATTGCCCTCTCAAACTCAGCTATTCTTATCTCTCATTTGAGAGATTCCATTAAAGAAAAATGAGAGAAATCCTTCCGTCCAGAGGCTGCAGAAATCTTAACGCTTTGTGTGGAGCTCAGCTGAACCATTTCTGATGCTAGTCATTGTGGTGTTGGAAGAACTAGATGAGTTTTGAAGCAAGACATGCTTAGCACTCCAAGTGAGTTGGTAGAGATCTGCCTTAGCTGTGCCACACCACATTCCCACTCCTCCTTTTGTCTGGATAATTCACATCTAGCATCAGATCACTGTGAACACTCAGCCCTGCAGATACTGTCCCTTCTTCCATCCTGCATCCTTCCCCAAACGGAGGAAGACCTGTTGTTCTCTGCCTGCCACATAGGATGTAATTATATGGAACTGTCCTTGCTCTAAAGAGCTTCTTTAAACCCATTTACCCCATCAGTATTTGTTTTTGCAGCTCCAGTCCTTTTTAACAGTTGCTTATAAGACTCTGCTGGCTCATCTGCATTTGATATGCCGACAAAGTTGTGCTTTGTGGCTACTGCAGTGCTAAAGACATTGTGTTTAATTAATTGCAGTGGTAAAATACTTGTGAACAATTCATTAGTAGCTTATGAACAGGAGATTTTTAAATAGCCCAATTTGAGGCTTGCATAGCTTTAAGCTGAAGCCAAGATACGCTGGTATCTTGACACATACTAACATGAATGTCCTCGCTGAGCTATTATTAGCGGAAGTGTGAAGCAGGTAGGTTTCAGCATGGTTTAATGATAATGTGAAAGATAAATTAATGAGTTGACCTTAGAAACATGCTTCTGTGTTTGCTTTGCTGCAGCTATATCAAAATACGAGACTTTTGGATTTAAGGTCGCAGTGATTGCTTCCATCGTGAGCTGTGCTGTCATTCTGCTGATGTCCGTTGCGTTTTTAACTTGTTGTCTTATAAAGTGTGTGAAGAAAAGTGAAAGGAGGAGGACTCAAAGGTATGTCAAGAAAAGACTTAAAACTGGCATAAGACTGTACATCTTACGGACTCCATTGCTGTGATAGCAGAGGGCTTTAAAGGACTTGGTGCTTGCAACACCGCAATGATCTGAATTACTTAAAATCCTTAATTTGTAGGTCAGGTTTTAGGTGAGAAAGACTTGGAATTCAAGAGTATTTAAGTACCTGATGTCTGTTAATATCGGATGACCTCAGCAGGCCTGGGCAGATCTGGATTTACCTAGGATTATGCAGAAGCTGAACATACAAGTCTTATTTGCTGGCCCAGTCTTTCTCTTCTTGAACTATTTAAGATTGGCTGCATTTTCCCTTCTTCTCTCTCTCCTTCCTTTTTTCCTTTGCTTTCCTTGAACACTGCTGGGAAAATTAATCTACCCGTGTCGAAACCATCAAAACCCTCACCATCTGCAAAGCATACATAAAGCTGTCACAATGCTGTGCTGGAAGGATGTAGGATTTTGTCTTCTGGCAGGATTATAAACAGGCATGGGAAGAAGTAGTATTTACTAATCCAGTCCGTTACAAAAACTCAGTGTGAAAGGTGGCTGTGTGACCACCTCTGGCTCCATGCTAAAGCCGAGCCACTGTTGTTCAGGAGAGCATCCATCCAAAGTCACGTGCAGCAGAAGGCTTTCCACAGGCACTTCTTCGTTTCCCTCTGGCTTTTCCTGCCTCTTGTTCCCACTGCTGCACATAGCTCAGTGGGGTGGCTGCACCCTGTCCCGCTGATGCCTGCTGTGCAGACAGTGAGCTGCACTTCTGCTTGATTTTAAGCTGCTTCTTGCTTCAGAGAAGTCTTTGAAGTGAAGTGGGGTAGCAGTGGAGTAGAGGGAGATTGGGGAGGACACAAGTGAAGGTCTGCGCTCCAAGCTGTGTTTTATCTAGAGCTGCATGGGAACCAGCTTAGGGGGCAAATTCTGTCATTTCAAAATCTGATTGTAACCAAAATACAGATTTTCTATTTCCCTTGGAAGGATTTTGTGAGGCAAAAAAGAAAGTCTTTGGTGTCATTCATAATATTAGGTTTTCACTGATAGCATGAAATAATTTTTGATAAGACTATTAATGTCAAAGTTCTTGTTTTTCATATATTTTAGATTTTGTCAAGGTTAGCCGTTCAAATGACTTTGATGACTTGATATTTTTCTCTTACGAAAGAAAAGCCCTTCACACCAGATGTTTTAACCTGGTTCTGTTATCAGGACATAAAATGATTCCCTTTACTGGGAGCTTCTCAGTTCCCTGCTGCCCTCTGTCCTCCCTTCACTGCGTCCTGAACGAGCTGCTCCAACCTGGCCTGTCCATGACTGAGCGCCGCTCCTGGGCAGGGAACCTGGGGGCGTTGTAGACATTGCGTGGCTTGACCCCGCTGTCAGAAAGCAACTGAGGTAGTGTAGAAACTGTCCAAGTCACACAAGAAAGAGTAATGCATCCCTGTATGAAACTTGCTGGACCTGCAGCCTGTGCTGCAAAGCGGTGCCAGATGCAGTGGTAGCGTCTCATCTGTTGATGTAGTTGGAAAATGGGGATCAACTTTGGCATTCACAGAGCGTTGATCTGAGGAGGAGCTGCAGGCTTGACAACTTAGTGCAAAATGAGAATACCTGGTAGGGGATTAGTTAAATAAGTGTCTTTTGGACCATCTCTGAAAGAAAAGTCTGTACCTCTGGAGTAGGGAGGATGTCCTCATCTTGCCTTTAGCTTTGAAGTCTGCCTGTCTACTTTTTTTTGGCTCTTTTAGTTAGTCTGCTAGAGGAGATCATCTCTGCCTACAAACCTGTCTTGCAAGGTATCTGATGATCTTTGAAATGGTGTCATGTGTTTTATCCTTGCATTTGGAGAGAAAAAGGACAAAATCCTCATGTAATTTTGCAGACCTTGTCCCACTGCATGAGCGTAGCTGCAGTTTATTTTGGTAGGAGCAGGGTTACAATCCTGAGAGGACAGAAATGACACCAAATCAGCATCTCCAGCCCTCATAATTTCATCTTGTCACATCACCTAGTGTGAATGTCTGCGATTATGTGAATCTTAGACTTCCTTTAAAAACAGTAAAAGAAAGTGTGGGGGGTTTTTTGCCCCAGAGTTGTAGAGAGCAGCATGAAAAGTGCCTTGAGCGTTTCCAAAAGGAAATCCTGAAGACAACCAAATAAGCCCTGCTTTTAAAGGCAAGACTTGTCTCCTCCATTTTTAAGTCATTCCATCTTTTCAACCTGCCTGGTGATTTTCGAATGCTTAAGAATGGCAGTGCTGCAAAAATTCACAGAAAATACTTTTTCTTCTGAAATAATTTATTCCATAAAATGGGGATGGTCTATAGTCTTTTCATGTACAATAGGATCTGTCCTGACCTGTGTCGCTAGTGAAGGTCCATGAGAACACTGACACAACATCACACCTTAAGTGACTTTCCATATTACCTGTAGCCTCAAAGTCCACTGAATCAAATTGACATAATTATTGGGTTTTTGTTCCTTTGAACTATCCACAGGTGCTCATAAGGAAATTGCTCTTTTTGTTTGTTTGTTTGCTTATTTTTTGAGGAGTGCTGGATAACACTTCAAATAACTATTTTACAGATTAATATTTATGCTATTTAAGAACCCCCAACCTTAAGGTATTTAAGCCTCTGGAAATTTGGCTTACACTTGAGGTTCAGCATGTGTTTAAGTGCTGTCTTCAGTAAACCTGGATTTACATTTAAACTCGAGTGAGTCAAGGTTGTGGTCAGGTAAAAGCTCAGATAACAGCCGGTTATCACAGTAATGTATTTTACCTCTTGCTTTATTCACAGAGATATGCAGCTGTGGTACCAGCTCAGAACCGAAGAACTAGAGCACATGCAAGCTGCTTACTTTGGTGTTAAGGGCAGAAACAATAACAACAACAATAAGAAACTCAGGAATAAATCCGTATTTGATGGTGTGACTAACATGGCATATGACAACCAAGGCTTCTACAGGTAAGGCTATTAAAATACAGTTGAGTTTGTTGAGCACATTTTAGAAAGAGGATTCCTCGAAAATGCATTTTAAAGGGTTGTCTCTGAAGAGGGCATGGTATCAATGGATTGTGAGGGCTTGTCCTTGAACTAGCCTGTCTTGTGGGGAATTAATGTTGCCAGAAGGTGGGACAGAAGAGAAGCTGAGCATGGCCTCCCTCCTTACAGCTTCTTTCGTCTGTCCCCAGTAGTGCTTGGTTAAGCCTGGTCTGCAGGGGAGGTTGCACCAGATTAACTGGAGAGAGGTTTTTAATTGTCTTTGTTAAACTGATGCTAAACTGCAGCAGGAAAGTCACTCCTTTGTGGTATCAAGGTGCTAGCTTGCCTAAGAGCCTTAGGAGAGGAGGCAGCCAGGGACACCTGGGGCTGTGGTACGACTCACGGTGAGCATTGAGTATTATCGTTTATCCCCGGGTGACCACAAAAGCACTCTTGAGAAATACCGTTTCGTTACTAGGGCGTGCAGGGCAAACTCAATGGGACCCTTATCCGCAAGGCAGCGTGAATGCCCGCAGTGTGGGAACCCTGACCCTGGAGTAGTCCAAAGAAACGTCCGTGCTGAAATAAGGGCCATCATGTACTGTGGATGGTGGGCATAGCTATTTTTTGTGTCGGTTCAAAATCACCTCTGGAAGTGTCCAGATGTGTTATGCTGGCTGTGTTGCTGCCAGCATAACAGAAGAATGAATACGTGTTAAATTCTAATGCTGTTTTGCTATTACCATTCATATAAACACATATCATCATGTCTTTTATATCCTTTGGGTTCTACTTCGTCATATACGATAATATATAGCATAATCCTTGTTTGCTTTTAATTCACTGCTCACTTGTACAGCTTTTATGTACAACAGTACCTGTGATTTGTAGTGGTTACCTGCAGAAAACAATTTTATGCAGATTAGAAACCTAATTCCGTGTCACAGTGCAGCTGGAAGTTACATTCAAATGGAGCACTTGCACAAATGTCTGATGGCTGCTTAATCAATTCCTAGCTTCCTGGGTGGTTTCAGAAAGATATATAGACCTAATTAAATGCTGCTTATAATCTAAACAGTTTTTAGATACTCAGGATGCATTTTTTAATTTTGGGCAACTTCAGTCTGCTTCAATCTGGATGTTTTGTATGTATGTAATTTATATGTAATCTGCCTTTAAAATAACATGGATAAACTTACAAAGGGCTGTAACCAGAAGCTGGTGCTCTGCTGGAGCCTCGATCTCCTTCTGTGTCCTTATCTGCACCGCTCCATGGAGCAGAAGCTGCTGTATTACGTTCGCTAAATTCTGTACACCTTTTCTTAACTAAAAGTGGCAGGGAATATACAATTCCTCTAGATAAGCAGCTTCTCTGGGGCCAGAAATCAGCAAGTTTATTATTTCTTTCAGAAACTGGAGAATATATAAACTTCAGTAGGGACGTGCAGAGGAGGAAAGCCTTGTGAGCTCTTTTTTTCCTACGTAGAACAATATGCATGCTGTCTTAAATACTGGTGCACAAACCCACCTCCTGGTGCCTGAGGTCTGCTGTTAATCAAGGTCTACTTTATTTCCACTATGCAGAGGAGATGTGATCCTGGCTGATCACTAGCCAGAGCAAAAATCAGCTAGGAGAGCAGGTATATTAGTCTGTGTACCCCACAGCCGTTTCGCATGTGGAGAACGGGCACTTCTTCTAATCAGAGGTGGAAGCTCTGAGAGACTGTGAATAAAACTGTCTTGGAATTGCTCTAGGAACAGGTGTGACCCTTCATCAATTTGTACGTTGTTCTGTTTCTTCACTCAAATAAGATCTGTTTAATCAAGGTTAGTAAAAGAAGCCAGTTTCTATTGTTTAATTCTGTTAAATGGATATATGTGCAGGATGAGAGGTGGTAATTCTGCTAATGTATTTCGTGCTGACTCTTGAAGAATGATCTGTCAGCTTTGTGTTTGACTTGCAAGACTTATTTTTGTGTGTAACTAATTAGGCTAAGTTTCATCATCCTGTGCCCATCCAGCTTACTGGGAACAGCAGGACAGTATAGGCAAATCCCTGGAGAGGTGCAGACGTGAAGCTGGTTTACGCTGGGAAGACCCACGTGAAAGGACATGTTCACTCTCTGGGTTATTTCTGTGGTACCTTTTTCCATGTAATGTGAAGTGAACGTGTGGGCAGCCTACACTTGGAGGAAATTTCTGGCTGTGTGGGTGTTGCTGTTGTGGTGGAGCTGTTACAGCATTGATTGTCTGAGGAAATAAATAAAGGCATGTGGCGTGGTTGGAAAAAAGCAGCAAAACTGAGGGCAAGCAAGCCCAAAGGAAAGATTCTGTGTATTGCTATGTGCATGTGAACCAAAGTGTGTATCCATGGTCATGAACAAGCCAAAAGATAATTTAACTAAGGTTCCTCAAGGAAGGTTCAGACTTGACATTAGAAAGCATTTCTTTACCAAGAGGGTGGTCAAGCCCTGGAACAGGCTTCCTAGAGAGGTGCCCCAAGCCTGTCAGTTTTCAAGAGGTATTTGGACAATGCCCTTAATAATTTTCTCTAACTTTTGGTCAGCCCTGAAGTAGTCAGGCAGTTGGACTGGGTGATTGTTGTAGGTCCCTTCCAACTGAAATCTTGTGTTCTGTCTTGTCCTGCCATATGCTATCCTATCCCTGTGTTAATGTTTCAGACATTTGGAGGAATTTGTGCAATGCATCACTAGACCTCTGAGCAAATCAGAAATCCTGCTTTGTTTTTCTAATAAGGAACTGGCCTAAGAAGCACGGGAGGCTGATCTCCCTGCCTTTTTCAGGGCTGCGGTACACATTCTCTGTGATACAGCCATGGGAAGTGGCTCTGCAACCCACTTAGAAGGGGAAGGCTGAGTGATGAGTGGTGCCCTTGTCTGAGAAAGGAGTGGGTGGAGGCTTAGCAATTTAATTCGTTTATTACGATAGCTTTTCCTTTTCTTAAAGAAAACTGTTCTGCTGCTTCTTTATGTAACATATGAAGTATCTGGAAGAGTGAGAACTCCTCCACCCTTGAAGAAGACCCTCTTGAGTATATCTTAGCCTGGTTTTGACTAGAAAAGGAAGTAGGTCATACTGCTTTTCAGACTTAATTGAAATAGATTTAGAGATTAACTAGAGATTAACATTTTGATTCATCACTTTAAGGATCAAAATTACTGTGAGAACAAATAAAATAAAAAGCCAATTCTCTCAGGTAAGCCAATATAAAAGTAAAAAAAAAAAAACATTTCTTTCAAACAGGTAAGGTATTCGTTATGGTTCACAGAGCAATTTAGGATTAAAAAACTATCATCTGTCAAAGCGGTGCCTTAGTATGCCAATGAGGTTGTTTTGGCTGTAATGAGGTGACATAATGTGGATGCAGAATGCTGATGTATAGAAGTTATAAATAATGTAGAAGCCCAGCTGTTGGACAGTAGAGGCCTCAGTGTGCTGTTCTGGACCTGTCTGCCACAAAATGAGATCTTTTTCCTCTTGTGTCTGAAGCATGGAACAAATGTGATGAATATATAGTTTTGCAGGGGAATGTTGAATTTTAGTGGCAACTGCTCTAATTATAATGAGCCCCATTCTGCCTTCTTGGCTGCTTGAACGAATTGCTTTAAAATGCTGAGAAATATGTCTGCAAATACCTGAGATCATTAGCTACAGAGCGCAGCCACTGTTGATGCCACCTCTTTCATTTGGATGTGAGGAATCCTAATGAGGATAAAAATACCAATTTTTCACAGAAAGTCTTATATGTAGGAGCTGCAAGCATTTACAGCATATTTGCTCTTTTATAATATTTGAAGAGCTATCTTATGTTGAGCAGGGAGAGGTAAGTTACAAGGCGTGGGGCCGCTGGAAGGGACATGTTTTCCCCGGTGTTGCTTCTCAGAAATTTAGAGTGTAGAGAAGAGATAGCGCATTGCTGCATGATGCAGAGGTTTGAGACAGATTAGCTGAAGAAAAGGGCCTGCCGTCTATGGGAGGGAGATTAGCTGCAGCTCTGGGGCATGTAGTTAGAGGAGAACAATGTGCATGAGCTTCCAAAACAGCCCCCCGGGAGGATTGCTAGGCAGAGGCAGGGCCTGTCAACACGGGGATATATTTGGAATAGCTCTCACAGCCTGACTGCAGTAGAAAAGCCTAAAATCAGTAAATTATATTCTGCACTCTTTAACATTTTAAGATTTAAAAATCTTCCCAATTCTGCATGAGAATGAAACCAGGACTGTTGTCATCGTTCGTCCAAAGGGAGAGACCTTCCTCAAAGCAGCAGAGATCACCACGCCTGCTGGGGGTGAGACAGGCACTGTGGGTCTCGCTGGGGAGAGCCTAGAGCACCAGTGGTGTTTGGTACAGCGGAGGAACTAACAATTGACGCGCCATGCTGGGTTTAAGAGGTTTTTTGAAATGGGTATGTTCATGAGCAGGATATGTTATTTTTGAGTCGGTTATTTTCTGATGAAGAATAGTACCTGACCCTGGAGTAATACTTCTCTGGAGAAATTGTTTGAACAACCACCACCTGAGATGAACAGTCATCTTCCATCCCCAGCAAAAAGCCATGTGAGAGAGCTTGGACTTAGTCAGCTGCCTGAGCAGGCGGGTTGTCCTCTGCCCCATGACAGGCACAAGGTAAAGTATTGGTAAAGAGAAGCTTAATGACAGCTGTCCTTCCTCTGTGGCAGCTGCTGGTAATATTTGAGAGGTGGAGGTGAATGTCAGTAAGAGATGATATTAAAGAAACTGGTGTCAAAAGGAAGAGTGGGGTGACCCTAAAGCAGGCACAGGGGCACGCTCACCTGCTGCCATGGGTCAGCTGTAGCTGTTCCCCAGGTGAATGGTTGGTACAGGTGGGCTGAGGCCAGTTTGGCCTTGCGATCCCCTCTTGGAGTAAGGAAGAGAAACTCCAGTGGCTTGCTTGTGACTCCCAAACTGAAATAGCATCCCCCTTTTCCATTAAGTAGTTCTAGC